ATTTGAAGATAATCTAATGTTATAACTTGCCTTTTCATTTGAAGGGCCTTCATCATTTTCATGATTTGAGTTTAAAACTTTAGAGCTGCTTGCATTCTTCCTCTCTTTCTCTGTATCCCTCCATTTCCCCCTCCACCCTCCTTCTCTCATATTCGGTTTTATAGTTTTCAGACATAAACATGAAAAAAGCAATTTTGACTTAGTTTCTGAGTGTTTCTGCAAAGAAAAGTAACAAACATCTGTTTTTACCTTAACTATATCCATGTGTTCAACCCCCACCCACTTCCCAAAATAATTTACAGCCCTGCTTGGTTGGTACTGCATACTATTAAATTAACTTTTTTCCCAGTTAGATCAGGAAATGTGTCCAAAGACTGGAAATATCAGTGTTAAACAGTAGCCAAAAACTACATTTTAACCAAGCTAAGTCATCATTTGTTTTTCTCTTCTCTCTTCCTCTCTCTTAATTTTGCCAAAGAAAGAGGTGCGGGAGAAAAGAAAAGATTGTGAATATATAGCAAATGGTTACCATTATAAACAAATGGAATCCGCTGACTGATGAAATTGTGCTCATAATACTTGTGTTTATAAATTAATTTATAGGTTTTCTAATTAATGTGAAAAATCCTTTGTGATATAAAGTCAAAGTGGGCTGAGAGACGTATCATGTGAATTGTTGTAAAGGATTTGTATCACTTGTTTCACTTTATTACTACACGTTACAGCATCTGGAACAATTATGACCATACCTAAGTTATTTGTTATAGAAGATTAACAGGAAGAAGGCTATTTTGCTAAGATATTTGAGAAGCAGTGGAACAGAATATTGGACAATGCAATCTTTTACTTTGTTGTATGCAACATGTCTTCAGAGATAAAAATATGTGGTACTAACAGAATTTTTCAAACAAAGATTGTTTCTTTCCAGTTACATGACGCCTTGGAGAAAGTTTCACCATGCTAGCTACACAAATTTCATCTTACTTAATGAATAAATGATGGGAGCTTGATACTAATATCTCACAACGAAAGCTTTATCACTTAATAACACCTTAAAGCATCCTAAAATTATAACTGTGAAGATATTTTAAATTATCTATCATCATTTCCTTAAATTCTATTTACAATAGTTAATATCCATAATTATCCACATTACTGTATGCTATGGAGAGATTTAGCAAGAACACATATCCTCCTGCTGTTAACTGAGAAGAGGAAGTCATCGATCAGCATGACTAAAGTCATTATCAAAATTGCCGGGGAAAGTGAGGTTAGATGCTGAGCTGTAATTTGCTAGATCCAGAAGGTCAGGTGATGATTTCTTGACTACTGATCAAACTGTTGCATGCTCTAAGATGAGTAGTAAGTTTTCCATTTCAACAGAGGCATTAATTATCTCTCAGTAGAGGCTACATGTGATTCTAGCTGATCTTCCCTTACCAAGAGGAGCAGAAGTTGGGCTTGCAACTGATGGCTAAAATGCCCTGTCCTACTTCAAGTGTCTCTTTTGGTATGTGAATGGGAAAAGTAAAGACTGATTCCAGCCCTGACATCATACACTTTCTGTTGTTTGGAGAGGTCATCCTGGGTTCAGTTGATCTATGCTATGCAATAGCTTGCAGTTCTTCAGACCATGTGATGCTGGCTTCTGGAATGATTTTTGGAGGCAAACAGGGATTACTAAGTGGCTCACTGTGCTGAAGAACTCTCCTAATTGTAGTTAAAAGGCTGCAGTTGTTTGAAAAGAAAAAAATTCTTTGCCTTCCCTCACAGTTGCGGAGAAGGTGTGCAAGCATTTCTTATGCTGAAGTCTGTCTGCTACTGCCTTCAATTTACACATCAGTACCCAAATTTTCTTTCCTACTTTTTCACTTGTCACAGATCTTCAGAAAACATAGAAATTGGAGAAAAGAGGATATTTGTGGTGTCAGTGTGTCTATGGCGGTTGTACTATGCGTATGGTTATAGTGTTTCAACAGATCTTTTTCTCCTTGGCTATTTGGTAGGGCATGACTTTAATATTAATTTAAGTGACTTCATAATCTAACAGACATAGGCCCAGGGATGTTGCACTTTTTGGGTATTTGGAATTTTGTCTCTGGTTGGAGGAGGAAATGTGCCTTGTTCAGGATAGGGGAGCTATCTCTTTGTGAGCTCGTAATCCATAGATCAAGTCTAGTGTGTGCCAGGTTATATGCACGGTCCAGATATTGCCTGGAGTTTGATAGAAGATTTTGAGCCATAGCCTCAGGGAAGTGTGTGTGTGTGGTCGCATGCAGTTTGAGGTCTTCCAGGGCAATGATCCTTGGCAAAGTCCCCATCATAATGATCAGCATCTCTGTCCATTCCAACAGGAGACCTTTTGTTTGGAGCTCTGTAGATTAGAGGGATGTAAGTCTGACTTTTTTTTGTTGACATGCAGGTTAAGTGGATATATTCAAATAATGTTTGCAACCCCTGGAGATCCTTTTCTGCATTTTAAGGCTGGATGGGAAGAGGACAGCTGCCCTGCCTGTATTATGGGAGTGTGATATCTTAAGTATCCTGAGAGGATTGTGTGGGTCAACAGTAGATGTATAGTGTTGTCGAACAGAATTTCTGTGTTGCTGAGTGAAGGTGGGAGTCTTAACTGCTATGAGGTCTTGACTGGAGAATAGCTCTTGACCACTGATCTTTCATTGATCAACATATTTTAAAGGTGTGAATTAGTGCAGTTTTGTTCAGTGTGGTGGCTGTAGGTGCAGTGTTCTGCATTAGCAGTAGATATTTTCTTTTCTTTCTTTCTTGGTTTCTGTTTCCAGTACTTTGTGAGGGGAGAGGGGGTTGTGAGTCCTGATGCTGTGCAGGGAGGGTGATATGTAGTGGCGCCATCCTATTATGGGGATAGCCGTTAAAGGATGCACCAAGAACGTTGGGCGTGACAAAACTCTTTCATCCTTCCTCTGGGCATTGCATGAGGATTGTGATGTGGGAAAGGGTGGAACTTGTGTAGGTCTGTTGTGGAACAATGTAACAGGAAAATGACAGGCCAGAAGCATTTTTCTATCATTTTATCCATTATGAAGCCCATTTTTGTGGGCTTGTACTGTAACTAGTGCTCGCTTCCGGCTAAAAGTCAGAGTACACTGTTTTGGTTGAAGAACAAATTACTTGTTTTGCATTATATCTGAGACCCTTATCTTTTATAAGGAGTTCATTATTCATATAGGATCTACAGCTTTGTCCTAAATAGTTTCATATGCAAATAATAAGCTGCAGCCAAGGATTGCTTAGCACTGCTCCTACCACTTCCCTTCGGGTTCACCTAAGACAGCTGCTATCCAGAAAGGTCCAACTTTTCATTTCAGTTGTGAGTACATTCAAACGTAGCATGTCAACCACTAGAGAGTAGGGACTCTAACTGGCTTAGCATGTTGCAGTGTTTGGTCACCAGTTGGCAGATATGTCAATTTGGCTTTGGACTGTGATTGTGTTGTGGCTTGAAAGTGCCCATTGGTTCTCAGCACAAGTGTGTGTGTGTATTTTTAAAAGTCAGGTTTTTAAGATATTGAGCTTTAATATGGTTAGGATCAGATTCTGAGACACTTACTCCTTGGGCAATCCCAATGAAATCATTGCACTGGGAGCGTTCAATGAGTAAGGGTATCAGAATCTGTCCCCAGAATATTTGCAACATTTGTTTTAGCTTATTCAAATATATATAAAAAATTATCTTAGCAGTAAGGTCAAATACTTTTGGAATGGCACATTTCTGTTGTATAAGGCTGTCTGTCTAATTAAACCTCAAATCTTCAGAAAGAGCTTCAGGTAGCGTTTAATTTTTTGCTTTTTTTGCTTCTACATTGAGCTATGTCATCTCTCGGAGTAGTAATTTATCCTTATCTGAAATGAATGAACTAGAGAAAATTCACTAGGTGTTGTTCAGCCATCACAGAAATATTAACCAGTGGTTAAAAAGTACAAAGTGCCAGGTAAGCAGTAGAAGCATTAAGAGCCTTTTCTGTGGAAGTCAGTGGGGGAGGGGGGGGGTCTTTGTGTGAAGCAACTAGAAAATAGAGGCCTTGAAGAGGATAAACATAACGGCCTAAACATTCAAAGGTGACTACTTTTTTTGGGTGCTTGATTTTTGGGCACTCTGTTTGGATCACTTTAAGGGGCCTGATGTTTCAGAGAATGGGTGCTTCTGAAAATCAGGCTTTAAGGTTTTCAAAATCCATAGTTTCTTTTAGACCAATAGTGTAAACACAGAAAATCTAGATCAACAACGTAGGCAGGCAGGGTTCTTACATCTCAAAATGTTTACTTAAAAGAATAGCAAAGTATGAGGTTGCATTTCCTTTGATTGTTTAAAGTGATTAGGTGTCTAGAGAGAAAGATTCTGGCAATTTAAATAAAATATTTCTTGATGAATATATATGGTAGAACTTATTTAAAGTTTGTGCTGTTTTTTGTCTTCCAGTTCTATCTCCTCTACATTCTTATTGGTTGTTAGTAGTATAATGCACCCTGCAATTAATTTGTCTTCCTTTTTTATGAAAATATATTGAAAAAATACGTGCTGTTACCCTTTTTTGTTGTCTTAATTATTGACATGAAACTGGACGCTTGAAGTTAAACAAAAAGTTGGAGGCTTTCTTAGTACCTGTAAAAGATTAGCTTTTGTTTCTGAAGTATGACGTAAGAAGGATAAGCCAGTGTTAGAAAGGAGAAATGGAGCCAATAAGGAGGGTTACTGATTATAATAGCCAGTTTCTGTTTAATATCACTGAGCAGGATGAGGTTTTGCAGAGTTTCTCATGGAAATAGCATCCACAGTTCTAAAATGATTACCTCATTCTCAGTACCAGTGCCAAGCACTTAGCCCCACAGTGAACACACGGGGTTGATTTTCAACATGAAACAAGCCAGAAGTGTGGAATGACATTTTCAGGTGACAGTTATGGTTCTATTGCCTGTAATTAGCACCTCTTAACATGCAAACCTGCCTGTGCCTTTTCCAGGCTGTTGAAGCTCAAATACGAAGTTTTGGACAGACCCCTACCCAACTACTCATAGAGCCACATCCTCCAAGAAGTTCTGCCATGCAGGTGGTATGTATCATATTAACTCTTTGTGACCCATTCACTTTTGTTTATTTCTGCACTGTTGCTTTAAACGTTCAGATTTTTTTCTTTTTGGGGGGTGTGTGGGCGGTGGAGGGGATTTAAGATTCTGTGCATTGAATTATAAACACAACTTTCTGAGTTATCAGTCATTGCTAGTGTATGCAATGCTTGAATATTATTAATTCACTGACTGCTAAAAAGGTTGTGCCAATTCACAGCACAGAAACTTATCAGTGTTACCTAAAAACGCTTCGTCAGTGTAATTTGCTAATGTGTTAGAACTGGTGGATCCAAATGTTTCAGCATTTCAAGCCCAATCCTGTGAGATTATATTGAGGTGCAAGCATCCACAATTCACTTTGAATATTAATGGAGATGACGGATCTCAGAACATCTCAGATTGCATTCAGCACCTTATAGGATCTGGGTTTTAGTATCTATGGCCCATATGCTTCTCTTGTTTTTTCTGAATGGAAGGGAGCTTGAACTAGTGGAGTCAGGCTAAATGTTATGGGGAAGACAAGAGCCCCCAGAAGTTGAACCCTGTGTAGAAGATTTATGGGTGGGGAGTGGGAAGGACTGGGAGCCACTATGCTCTGTCATGTAAACCAGCTCCTGAGGTGGATGCCAGGAGCTGGTACCTGGGGAAGGGAGTACCTGAAAATATACATCTCCATGCGTATTTGTGCTGGTGGGAGCCAGCTAAGCTGGAAACAAGGGACTATCCCAGCCTTTGGAAGATCCCCCAAGAGCTCTGGATTTAGGAGGTGGAGCCTCTACTCTTTTCTCCCAGCCATAACCTTTCCCCTAAAAACTAGGAATTCTTGAGCTGAAACTTGCATAGTGAAGAATTTGTTTTAATGTGTTTTGCAATAACACTAGGATGATAACGTCCAGGCACTGAGTATTAACATGCTTTCTATTTTACCTCTACTTGTTTGTAAATATAATTTTATTAACACAATTAAATTTTATGCCATATGCAGCCTCAGGGTCTAAAATAACTTCATATGTGTCATCATAGAACTCAGAACCTAAGTGTGTTAAATTATATTGTGACAGAATGGACCAAACATTCTATTAACTCATGAGTTTCTATATGTTACATTCCCTTAATGGTCAAAGATGGTCTGTGGTTTTTAAAAATAAGTATAAACAAGGGAATTCTATCTTTTAGGGTCTGTGAAACTTATGTTGTTAGGGTTAAAAAAGTCCCTGAACGGGAAGAGCCTTTAGATAAAATACACACAAAACCATAAAATTTATATATCATGACTTACACTATGTACAATAGGAGCCTAATAGACCTAAAACTTCTTATCCATGAACTACCAGCCTGTGTCTATTGACTTCCTTGTCACTGACTCACAGGTTTAGCTGAATAAATTTGGTGCGGTACCAGGCAGTTTGTGTAATAAGGACTGTACAGTTTCATCAGAGTATAGTACATGATGATGACCCTAGTAAATATTGGGCAACTAATGAAAGGAGTTACATTTCATGAAGTTAATTATATCTAACTTCTCTAGCTGTACATACAGACACTAAGTTGTGGTTCACATTCTTACTTTACCATCTCCTTTGGTTGTTAACATATAATTTTACAAACTGTTATTCTAATAATTAAAAAAATAGTGTAAGGCTTCCATGAGGGGAAAAATTGGGATTATAGTGTAGTATATAGGGAGGAGGGCCTTTTTTCCATGACACATAAAAATGCTTTATCATCGTAATCATTGTACTATTCACTGAAGTTTCAATGGTTTTTTTCTCTGTCTGTGAATACAGCAGAAATTAAAGCCACCATGTGCAGTTAAGTGCACAAGCCATAATATACACCAGGTGTAGTAATTAGCAGTCACACGAAGGCTGCCTATATGTCTGGTTTTGCTGCTGTTGCTGTATCCCCCTGTGTTTTCACACCATCAGATAGCTGGATTTAATTGAGGCCACATCAGATGAGGCATTACTGACACCTTTAATTGAATGAGCATCCAGGGAGGATTAACTCATAATATTGATTGGCTTTTAGCCACTTGTTCAGAAGGGTGTCTGGGTAGCTTATTAGTTGCTTTTATTTACACCTTTATGCAAAGACTAAATAGGAATTCAGAGTGCAATATGTTTTTCTAAGTACTCTTAATAACTTTTTTAAAAGGCGTGATAATAAAAATGCAAATGTATTTAATTTCTTTTATTAGTTCTGTATAAATATATATTAAATGTATGCACTTACATACACACATATATATGCATATATGTACTGGAACATTGCAGGTAGAAAACAGCCAAGTGTGCTGATCAGTATATTTTTATAAAGATATTAATTTAGTTATTGGGAAGAAGAAATACTAAAGGAATATGGATGACAGTGGACAGTACAGTAATAACTCTGTCATCATAGCTTTTACTTTTTTTTGGTGCACCATGTATTAATGAAAACAAACTTGTTAAGTTCAGTTACTTTCTCAGATCTGTAACTGTTTAACATTCAAATTACATGGATTTACCAAATCTGTGAAAATCAATATTTGATTTTAACATTCGCAGTGATCTTGGGGGTCTTAGTTATAAACTTTCTAATTAATTAAATTGAAAACAAAACTATTATATTGATTGGACTAGGGAGAATCTAGATTTATTTCCTCTCTCTGGCTTTTGTAGGAAGCAAAGGTATTTGCAACATAATAGGGTGATGTCTGCGTGATTCTGTCCACTTTATAAATGTTTCCTTTATAATTGCATTTAATTATGTTTGGCTTAAAAACAGAGTTATAATTGTCTGTGTATTGCTTAAATCTTATTTCTATACAACATAAATACACACAGTGCGTGCATTTACTGTATGCACATATGTTTTATTTATTTGCTTTTTTTTTTCATTTGGCTTGTCAAAATCTTAGTCTGCCAACTAAATGGAGCCTGGGATGGTCTCTGGGAGCAGGAATTTCTCACTTTCTTGGTTACGGCCTTCTCTGAAATTACTTTCCTTGATGTGCTACCTCTGTAGATATGGAAGATAATGCATTTGCCAGAGACAGGCAATTGGAAACTTTTTAATGGAACCTGCAGCAAACATTGACTTTAGATCATTTCCTTTTCTGCAGTGCTGCTACCTTAATGGCATACATGAAGGATGTCCACGCAAAATAGTTGTTTACACTAGCCTGTTTACTGCTACTTCATTTACTTGCAGCTGCTATTGGTTCTTGCTTATTTTAATTCAGTCTTACTTCTCTTGTTCTGTCCTGTCTTTCTTTCCCCCTCCCTATCTTTTCTTTTCCCATGTGTTTGGGTTCTTGATTGCCCACTCAACAGTATCTCCTCCTGCAGAGTCCATTGATGTTCACAGACCAAGCTCAACAGGATGTTATCATGGTTCTAAAGTTCCCATCCAACTCCCCTGTCACTCATGTAGCAGCCAACACCCAGTCTGGTCTGGCAACTCCTGCTGTGATCACAGTCACTGCCAACAGGCTATTTGCTGTGAATAAGTGGCATAACCTTCCTGGTAAGTAAAGAAATTTTAGCATTAGAAACTGCCACCACCACCAAGTGGTATTTTTCAGTTGGCTTTGTTTCAAAATTGGCAGTAGAAATATTGTAAATTTCTGTTTGCAAATGCTAATCCAGTTCATTGGTACATTGTATTCATTGCAGTTAGACAAAGATGACCTTTCTAAAGTGCAACTGAACACTACAATTCAAAAAAAGAAAAGGAGTACTTGTGGCACCTTAGAGACTAACCAATTTATTTGAGCATAAGCTTTCGTGAGCTACAGCTCAATTCAAGTTCTGCTAAGCCACAAGTTATTCAGGAGAAAGAATTATTTACCAAAGCTAACAGGCAATATCCAAGAAAACATAAGCAACAGGTCACCACTTTATTATCATCATAAATATTTGCAAGCATCCAATAGGCTAAATATATTCCCAACAGTTACTCAGCACAAAGAACTTGTAAAGCACAAGGCAGTGCTGTCCAGTACCTGAGGAACATGGCTCTGGGCCAGCCCTCAATTGTTCCTGATGAAATTTTTGTCCATCTTGGACCTCCTTTTCAGCCCTGTGCCCGGATTATGGAAGAGGGAACCTCTCTAATGTCTAGGAGGTACTGCTGCCACAGAAGAATTCACAACTTTCCTGAGTTGGTCTCTGCTAGCTCCTACTTGTTGGTTATGAAAACCACAACCAGAAATCAAAACTGAAAATATTTAGAATGCCCACATCCTCTGTAACATGGACACCCAAAAAATCCAAAACACTAGACACTTGAAAGTCTTTGCCAATATAAAAAAGAAACAACATATCTGTAAACAAGATCACTCATCTTAATGATCCTTTTTGTAGTTTGTTGGACATTAACATATAGACAGTTCTGTTTTGTATTCCTGTATTTTCTAATCCTTGAGGGGACTCATCCTCATTCCATAATTACAGCAGCCTCAAGCCAGACCCACAAAAGGCAATTCATTTCTGATGGCACTGCAGTAAACTGTTAGCTGGTCAGAGGATTTCTATGAAGAAAAATATAGCTTCTTCCCAAATAGTTTAAATAGAGGACAATCTTTTAATGTTTGGACCAGGCTAATGTCTACATCACTGGTTTCCTGTAAAGAAATTTGGACCCACATCCCTCTGATTACATTTTGAAAAAAGCCAGATGACCCCAATGCTCTTTTCCAGCTGTTGTAAATCACTGATCAACAATGTCCAATTGGAAAACTTTTGGCTTTATTCCAGCACCATTTCACCCACCTAAGAAGCTCTAAAGAAACCAAAAACAAAATATGTTGTCTAAATAGCTGATAAAGACATGACTAAAAACTGTGGATAATACTCTCCGCATTTGGATGGAAAGAATATGACAACAGCCTCCCATGCTACTATATGACCTTAAACATACTTTCAATAGTCAATGGATTAAAAATCTCTACAAGAATGCATAAAATTCAACAGTAATATTCAGGAAAAAATATCTGGTGGATGTTCTAAAATTATAGGAGTTGCTTTGGCTTCTCCATACGTGTGCTAGTTGGTGATCTATTTGCCAGCAACAAATGCCTGCAGACAGCTACCTCCATATTCTGTTCTCCAGAAACAGCAGCACAGTAGGACAGGTTTCTGAGCCACTGTCATTGTATACACCGTGAGGCACTTCAGAAGTGTTCTTTCTGTGTAGGGAGCTGGAGAAAAATCTACACTTCAAAAAATCCTGTGAGAGATAGTACACTGACCACTACTATTGTGGTCTATTGTGGAGTGCCACTTTTGAGGGAGCTGGATATGGCTTCCTGGAATGGGAAGGACCTGAAGTTAGCCTTAGATGTAGTAACCCTTAGATCTAGTAGTAAAATTGTGCTTTGCATAGGTGTAGGAGGCCAGTACTATAGCTATTCCATATCTCCTACTGTGATCATAGCACCATCCACAGGGAATACTTGCACTATGAGTCATCATGACAAAGCATGTTTAGTTGACAAGTAATCGCTTGTCACTGACTACTATTTAAAATCCCACACCTGCCTCACTCAACTAATCTGGTGGCTTTATCAACCAGTTTATGACATCAGTGTCCAACAAAGCACATCTATACAGGGCTAGAACTGGTACAGTTTCATAAAATATTAATGTTTCATTACAGCACTGCTGTTGAGTTGCATTTGAACTATGAAATCAATCTGATGTTATTAAGTTTTATAAAGCTTATTCTTTATGAGGTAATCGGAGAAATGAGAGATGTTACACCTATGATTTATCTATTATAGTAGCTTCCAATTCCAAGAGGGTTTGGGGGCTTTTGACTGAAGCTGTGGAAAACTAATGTTGAAGTAAAATCCAGTAGGTAAATGTTCCAGAGACATGCCAGGTGCTTGGACATTTATTCAAAATGTTGGCCTGCAGAATTATTTATTTAGTTTTATTAAAACTTGCAAATAAGTATTTTTCAATGATAGATGAAACATTAAATATTATGTCACTTGGAGATTCTGTCTCCATCACAAACTGAAATTTTTTGAAAGGTCCGTTGTGCTTTGCTGTTCAAAGCAGCCCTTTGAAAAGGGAGGAAAATAGTATTTGCTACAGTCAGCAGATGGTTGTCACATTTTGTTTTCAGTGCTCTTTACCATTTAATTTTGTTTTGTTGCGACATGAGAGGTTGCCAGTAAAGCATCTGCTATCGCTTATGGCTCAGGACCTGAGACGTTGATGAGGGCGCACATTCAGAATAGCACTCATCTAAAATAAATGTTTAATAAGCAGCCCGTGAAAGCTCCTGGAAATTTTTTTATTTAATCAAGAAAGAAACTTGAATGGTTAAACAGTTGCATATAGGGTTTGATTTATCATTTTTATGTGGCCCAACATATGAAAATAATGCTGACTTTTAAAATCTTCTTTCCTGAATTTCAGCTCATCAAGGTGCTGTACAGGACCAGCCATACCAGCTGCCAGTGGAAATCGATCCTCTCATAGGTCTGTCACTTTCCTCTCTCTTTGCGATTCATTAAGCTCTGTATGGTGGCCCTGAAGTGTAGATTACGGTTGTTTTTCACTTGCTGGTTGCTGGGAATGGAATTTTCCTGATAAACCATTTGCATGCAAATTGGAATGCAATGAGCTGTGGCTATGCTGGTATTTCATCAACTCCCCCTCGTTGGTTTGCCTAATTTGAACAGGCCTAGGACGCGCGTCAGTGAAAATTAATATGGATGCTGTAATAATGTGTGATTGAGAATGTGCATGAAGTACTGTCAGGATAATATTGGATCTTTTCATCACTCAGACTTGTTGATGAGCAGGAGCGAGGCATGTTATGATGAATTGGTGCACTGGTAATGTGATGGAGCTCCTTTGCCGAGGAAATTTTCATAATACCAGTGGGGTTCTTAACAGCACTGTGTTGTGAAAAATAAAACTGTGGCGCCAGGGTTTCATCATTAAAGGAGATCAATCCTTTCTTCTTAGACCTGCTGCTCACACTGAGGGGATTAATGCGTAATTGCAAAGCAGTTCCAAAGTTGAAATCTATTGCCCGGGCAATTCTAGTGTTAAGATATTAGTATTCATCTTTCTAGGGCACTGCAGTCTTTTGGATCACCATCAGTGGTTAAGTGTGTGTGTCTGTGTTGTTAAGGGGGGAGAAAAGAGTCTCACTTTCATTTAAATGAATCTTTATAATAAATGCGTGGTTTATTATAGTGATGCTTTTCATATTAGCATAGTTGGTTCAGTCGTTTATAGTATAAACCCTTATTTTTGGGTGGGGGGATTGCAATTTGGCTCTAATTCAGCACGGTTTGTAACTTGGCACATGATTCTGCCTTGAAGGCTCCTTAAAAACAAAACAAATTTGAAAAGAAATATTCCCTCATTTTTAATTTGAGAGGCCAATAAATAAATATTATTATTATTTTTAAGCCTTATAATTTCTCTGTTTTTTTTAAACTGACAATTTCAGGCTGATAGTTTATTGAATGAAAACATGAACTGACCAATTATAATTGCATTTAAAAACCAAGTCTGTTTACTTATTTTTAAATTAATTTTTTGCCTGACTCTCCACTATCATGTGCATGGTGGAGTGATAGGATTTGTCTATCAAATAGTTGTTAACTACTTTTAAAAATTAATATGCACAGTAAATGGTTCACAGGAGGTGCACGTTGACCATTCGCTAGTTTTTATTTATAAATGTATAAGTTTTTTCTTATTTATTTATTTATTTGTGCCATTGTTTATCAAAGTAACATAGTGCTCTCCATAGAGCATTTCTAGAGGTTTGTTGTTGTTACTCAGTGAACCCAGAGGAGATCAAGGCCCCATTGTGTTAGGTACTGTACAAACAAACAATAAGCAACAGTCCCTGCTCTGAATTGCTTAACAATAAGAGCATACATGCCCTCAAAGGGTAGGAAGTGTTATCATTATTTTACAGGTTGGGAGCCAAGGCACAAACAGATTAAAGGCCTGATCCAAATCCTTGTAAAGGCAATGGGAGCCTTTAAATGACTTGCTTTAGTCTGCGAAAGAAGTCTGTTTAGTGCCTAAACTACAAGACCATGCTTTATCTCTTCTCAAACGGATCTTCTACAACTCCTCAGATGTCTGAATTTATAATACCCGCAGTGTCCTATACTCAAATGTATAATCTCTTGTATCTCACTTTGGAAGGTTTTGCAGTAGTGGCTTATAATTTATAACTTTAATCACTTGGGCTGAAATTTTCCATCCCAGGTGTCTGTCTAAGGTTGAATTATTTTAGATGACTTCAGCCAAAACAGTTCAGCAGTTTCCAATGAGGAGGCTAGTGAAAAATACGTTGTTTTGCCCACGTTAAAAAATTCTGATGACCTGTTCTTTGAAAAGCTCTATTACCCCAATGTTTTGGAGCAGGAGCTTGAAATTTGGCAGGGGTGTGGCCTTTTTGCCATCAATGTGCCGTTCGCTATCCACATGAATATCTGCCCAAATTTGGCCAAGTTATAAGCCTTTGAAAAAATCACAGATTGTACATGCTCAGTAGAGACTCCTTAGATTTTAGGAGCTAAATCCCCCTGCCTCAAAATCTGTCTGCAGTGAGCATGATCCAGCCCTAGACATAGTACACAGGATTTTCCCTGCATTCACAGTTTAGGGCTGCTGCAGGCCAAGTCGAAGCTAGGTCCAGGCACCTGAACTGAGAGCAGGGAGCCTGTTTTTCCTGTGCTTTCAGTAGCTTGCTGGGTCCAGTCAACATGGAAGAGGAAGCTGCCAATTCAAATGCAGAGGGAGCAAGAGTCAGACTTGCAGGCGGGAGCAGGAGAGGGAGTAGAATTCAAGAAGGATGTTGATAAATTGGAGAGGGTTCAGAGAAGAACTACAAGAGTAATTAAAGAATTAGAAAACCTGCCTTGTTGTGATAGTCTAGAGCTCAGTCTGTTTAGCCTAACAAGGAGAATGTTATGGGGTGACTTAATTACAGTCTATAAGTATCTACATAGGCAACAAATATTTTATAATGGGCTTGTCAGTCTAGCAAAGAAAAGTTTGATCCAATGTCTGTAAGCTGAAGCTAAACAAATGCAGAATGGAAATAAGGCATGCATTTGTAATAGTGAGAATAATTAACCATTGGAACAATTTGTCAGAGGTCATGGTGGATTCTCCAACACTGACAATTTTTAAATCAAGATTGGGTGGTTTTTCTAAAGAGGTGCTCTAGGAATTATTTTGGAGGCAGTTCTGTGGCCAGTGTTATACAGGAGGTTGGACTAGATGATTACCTTGGTGCCTTCTGACCTTGTACAATTAGATATCAAACAAGATGCAAAGAGTGTGGAGTGAGGACAGGGAGGGGCAGCAATAAAATTAGCTTAGTTACATGCGTATCAATTTGCAAAGGTGTTAGAATTCAATGAACATAGATGCTAACTTTGATGCTCCATGTTTCTTCTTTCACATTCTTCTCTTTAGCCAGCAATACAAGTATGCACAGGAGACAAATCACTGACCTGTTAGACCAGAGCATTCAGGTCCATTCCCAGTGTTTTGTCATCACCTCTGACAATCGTTATATCCTGGTATGTGGCTTTTGGGACAAGAGTTTCCGGGTCTATTCTACTGATACAGGTTTGTGGAATATTAACCAATAGAAAAACGTGGAAAGTACGCATGTGTTTGAGGTGGGGAGCATGGTACTGTTTTCTATTCACTACTACCCTGAAACATTTTTGAGCGGATGAGAATATATTTCTTCTTCAAAGAATGGCAGGAATTATTTTTAAATTCTTCCCACTCCACTCTGCATAGAATGCTATCAGGAGCGGAAGTCACTGACTATTGCTTTGTGCATATTCATTTGTCTCTGAAACTTAAGGGACACACTGAGCTTAATTCTTCAGGTTCACAAGAAAACCAATCTACTGAGTTTGTTTAAAGCTTTGCATACTGGGGGAATTAATTGTTTCTTGAGTGCTTACCTGAATTAAATTCTGTTCTGCTTTATATATAATTGAGAAAAATATTTTAAGAAACACAGCATAGCCCATCTGAAATAATACCAAAGTGTATAAGTCCAGTAACATAGTGAAGGTGTTTGAGAAAAGAAAACCTCTGAAATTCTGAGGGTCCCAAAAGGTCCCAAGGATAGCAATGGAGCCATTAAAAAGAATGAATCCTCTCACACAGTGTAAATTGGCCAATATGCAGGATCTTAGTTCTGTCTAAATGTGTGATCCCTGCAGACTGACAAAGTTACATCCATATCATGTTATGCTGAAGACAATCATGGAGGGTAAGAATCATGGCGGTACAGAAGGAATATGTATGTTTTTCTTCCCATTCATTGCCTTATAATAGGAATAGCAATCTCATTGAAGGGTACTTCCTTTGGATTAATGACCAGTTGGGGTTAATATGTCTGGGACATCAACCCTTCCAGCAGGGTTATTATCCTATATGTTCTTCATCATTACTTAAATGGATTTGTTAATAATGTGTTTCACACTTACCAAACCAAAATATTTTATAAAACAGCAGAACAGTTGGACTGGACCCCCGACATACTTTGGAGGTGGGGCATTTGTCATTTGTGCAATTTAATACACTACTACTGTAAATGAGAAGTTTACTGTATGTTGGCTGACTGCAGTCCTTTACACAGAACCTTCAGTTTAACAGTTCAGTCCTACTTTGTTAACCTTCTCTTTAGTGAAAGTCAGAAATGTGGTTTTAAAGAGATCTTTCGAGAAAATAACCAGGTATGGTAAATATTCCACACAATTTCTTGCCTTACATTAAAAATATATTGACTAATGTGTTCTTAATTTTTTCATTGTTGAAAAGTGAGCACGTGTTTATTTTTAAGGCTAACTGACTTCAGTGTCATGATGAGAAACTAATAATATTTTGGTAACTCATCTGCAAATGGCTTGTTAATTAAGTCATTGCAACTGTATTTAAATCATAATCAGAGATTACTAGTTAACTTAATTCTGACATAACTGATTCTGATATGATTAAAAGCAAATTACCAGAAAGTTTTATCTAAATTTCTTCAATTTGTTAATATCCAGCACACAAACAAAATCTGGTTGTAGTTTCATTTAAATAAATTCAGTTAAAAGTTTTTTTTAATATTAAAACAAAAGTATAGCAGTCAAATACCTTTTCTGAGCTTGGCGGAGCAGCAAGGGAAAAAGATGTGATCAGTAATGTATAATGGCAAGCTATCACAAGTGTTGAATTCAATTATATTTTAGCACTTAAACAAAAAAAGAATCTTTTTCTTATTAGATTTCAGGGGGGTTTGTAACAGGAAATACTTTTAACGTAAATCATGCTTTCTGGTTACAGCTAGTACAGCAGAGGCACAATAAAACCTTCCTCCAGTGGTGGGAATTATTTTCAGACAGCCTTTTAGATGCAGTAGTGCAGAGGCTTGAGTCTGAATTTTCTTTATTTGTAGCACAGCTGTCAAATAAAACATTAACTAGAAAATTTGTGCTGTCAAAAAAGGGATATCCTAGTGCATATGGTAATATTTGATATTGCTGTGTGGAGAGGAGGATTGGTATTAAAGGAAATAAAAAAAAAGTTGAAAAACTCTTATGAGATTCAGTAAGTAATTTAACAAAGATAAAGAGAAGCAGCGAACTTCTGTTTTGATGGTTGGGTTGTATTGAGTGAAGCTTAACCCCGTGACAATAACAAAGTAAAACTAGCAGGGCAGCACAAACGTATGAGCAGCTGTCAAACAAATAAGTCTTGAAGAATGTTTGTTTTCTAGAACAGAAACTAAAAACAGAATATCTGGGGGGAAAAATCTCTTAAACTCATAGCTCTTTAAGAATAAACTTACTATTTGAAAAATATAAATCACCCCAAGTAGTTGAATAACTAAGGGGATACAACTGGAAAATAGATGGTATAATTTAATCACAACAAAATTTAAAACAAATAATTGAGAAATCAACAGAAGTTTCAGGAAAAGCTGTCTATTCTATGAGGTTAAATATATTGCCTGAGATAAAGTTATATGTGCTGAAAGTTTTTCACTGCTGCCTTCCAAACTCTGCAGATCAATAGCTTTTGCTGACTAAAATGGATGACCATCCAGCAATTTGGCTGAGACAGTTACATGACCTGGGAACCTAAGTGAAGAACCCTCAGCACAGGGTAACTTCTGATGTTGCAGCACATTTTGAGCCAAAAGACAGTTTTAAATGGCATAATAAAACATAATATGGACTGGAGTCACCAAGTTATAGGAAAATTTTTGCTCCTGGGTTAAAAAGTATAACCTCCTGTGAGTGAGCCTCCAACAGTATTATGTCCCATTATCACGTTCAGTCACTTTTCAACCTCATGAAGAAATAATTTTTCATTATAAACATCAATTCCCCATTCATGTATCCATTGTATAACATTTCCTCCTTGATGGAATCATACAGGTTAGAGATAGAAAGATTTACTAGATCACAGAGATTTCCCTCTTAAAACAAGGTTGTTTCCTATAGTAAGTACACTTTCTAGTGCTTTGTCCATTCTACAGTAGTTTTAAAAGTCTCAATTTGACAGGGCTTCCTCCCACCACAGTCCATGGGAGGATTTTCCAGCCAAATGCATATTGCTGGCAATTTTTTGATAGATTACATTTTCCTTTTCTTAATTTCATCCCATTACCCCACCCCCACCCCTATATACCACACTATATATATCCCCAGGTGTTTATATATATCCCTCTCTCCCAGCTGTTTGCACCCTTCTGGTTTTTTTGTTAGGTTTTCTCCACCATAGTTATTGCTTAATACCTTTAATCTTTTATTATAAATCTGTCCTTCCAGCCCTTTATCTAAACTCTCTCTCTAGTGTGTCATTATTTTTGTTTTAATTTTTTTGTGCAAAACTGAATGCAATAATCCAGGGGCAGTCACAGCAGAAACAGTATAGGTAAGAACTATGAACTGTTATCTTTCAGCTGCATGACTTAATCTTTTATTTATGCAGCCCAAACCTGTACTGTCTCTCTCTTTCTTCTCCTCTCCCTCTCCCCCCACACTTCATCATAGTACAAAGTCAAGTCTCCCCCCACTGTCATCCCTAGGTCAATTCAGTGTTACAGGTTCCCACATTTCTCCTTATATTGATATAATATGTTTCAGGATCATTTTGTTTTTTATCTCCTCCCAATTTATCATCATTTGTAAGTTTCATTAATATCCAGTTTCTGCTTGATCATTAATCTTTCTACTTTATCATTGATGAGGTTGTTAAATATATCCCATCTCTATATGGTCTGCTATTAACAGGTTCCAATAGCCCCAGCAAGATGAATGCTGGTGCTTATGCCCTCACTTTAAGGAGCTTTTTCTCTCACCCAATGTCCCTCCCTCTGTGTGGGGGTCTTCAGAGGGCAGTTGTAGTTGGCCTTATATGTGTTTGCTCACACATGCAAACCCAACCCGCATGAACATACACATACACACATTTGTGAAAATGTGACCCTGTTGAGTTAAGGTTAAAAAGTTATAAGCATATTCATATTTTTAAAGATCCATGAATTGCACATTTTTCACTGTCTGAGTAAAGCTGAGTTTAGCTAGGTTTTCCTTTCAAATTCGTTTTTATGTATCTATTGATGGCTTGAATACTTATACAACAAACAGAAACTTTGCTTGTCAGCTATGTATTTTGAGCTTTTATGGGCATTGCAAGTGTTCTCAACGGGAAGAAAGCTGGTAGAAATGGTTGGCTATTATACTAAATGTGATGGAGGAACTAAAGGGGAAGTTTAATTTTATACAGACTTTCTGAATTGTATGCATTTTTTGTAATTAAATAAATGCTCAAAGAGCTGGTTGTTTCATTTTCCATGTCACACTCACAATTCCCTATGTCCTAACTGTTCAGGAGCCTCGATGCACTGTCATCAGATTTACATTTTTCCTGCTACTTTCACCAGTAAACTGCATTAAAATAAATTCTGTCGTTGCGAATTTGTGTCATTGTTTCTTTATTCTATATATTTAAACTCATGATTGCAACATGAGTTTAAATATATAGAATAATGAAACACACTAAATCCTGCCAAGCCAGTATAAGATACAATTCTGTAATCGATTCTTATTCACTCTATGCCCCTATACAGATTGCTGTGTTCTTAAATAGTTTTCATCCCATCAGGATATAAAAAATGGACACTGAATTTGTCTTTCACAACCAGCAGCAACTGAAGGTTTTATCTAGACTTTCTTTTATAAACATTGCTTGTGAAAGTACAACTAAAACATTTTGTAATGTGTTTAGTAAAGTCTACAAAAAAATCATTAACAGTATGTTTTAAACTTAGATTTTATATGTTTCAGGTAAACTAATACAAGTAGTGTTTGGGCACTGGGATGTTGTCACCTGTCTTGCCCGCTCCGAATCCTACATTGGAGGAAATTGTTACGTTCTCTCAGGATCACGTGATGCAACACTGCTGCTCTGGTACTGGAATGGCAAAACCAATAGCATTGGTGATAATTCAAGTGGTAAGTAAAACCTATATTATGAGTAAACTGCATGTGACATGAGATAAGTCATTACAGAAGTACTCAGTGCTTTTACGTAAAACTAAAATCAAAGTATAAGGTTTTTAGTATTTATGATGAAGTTTAAACAGTGCTTGCTTTGACCACATAAATATATTATAGAGCCACAGTACTGACTCCTTACAATAAGCTTGTGAGATGCTTAACATTGCAAGTGCAATTTTGCCTCTCACCCTTTTGACTTGATATTTTGTTGGCTTTACTGTTAGGTCTATGGAGAAATTTTTTTTTTTTAAACAGATCAACTGGACATGCAGTTTTGGAAGGTGTCGGTTTTCTTAAATAAACACTTTAACATTACCCATTCAGTGAAGATTGTTTTTTATAAGTTCTTGTATAATATATTTAAAAATATGCATTCATGCATTCAGACACCCTTACTCCCATTGAGTAGTATCTTACCACCCAGTCAAAATACTCATGGAGTTAGCGACTACTCAGTGGGAGTAAGGGTGTCAGAATCTGACACACAATGACTTGGGCGAAATAATAATAATAATGATAATTACTTGGCGTCCTCAAAAGATAATAGGCATAAGACACGCAGGTGTTTTTGTTTTGTTTTGTTTTTTTAAAGTATTAAGCGCCAAAAAAAGACTTCTTTCTATCTAGTATAATTTATACTTGTTCACATAGAAACAATACGGAATTGATTCTAAACCATCAGTCTAAAGTATAATTAAATAAGAATCACATGTCTTTTTTCGGTTATTTGGAAGATTTGTGGTTCATCTAACAAATCTATAACTCTCAGGGGAAAAAAAAAAGACTGGTTGGTTTTGGAATTACTTTAAGTATTTGACTTTGGGAGCTCAATGCTGTATCTGAATGTTTGTGAAATAAATTCATGAAGTCCACAAACTGCTTAGGTTGTGGCCCAAGTAGATTACAAAATCTTCAGGCATAGCATGAATAGGTTACCAAGGTATTTTAAATAGTCGATTCAAGGAACGGAAGAGCTTCATGGATGCACCCAGCATAGTTTTTTAAGCTCCTTAAAATAAATAGCTTTGGTTGAAGGAGAAAAAAATCTTTGTGGGCACAATATGCATAGGTTGCAATCTGATGGTCAGGAAAATGGCAAACACTGCACTATTCTTGCAGCGCTTATAAATTTAGGAAGCCCCAAGTAGTCTTGTTCAAGAAACTTAAAAGTTTGACAGGCCCATCAGGTAGAGCTTTACATTCTAGGAAGCAAAACAGTCCTCTTCAGAAAATACTTTAGTAGTTTACTGCTATGAGGCATTCGAGATTTGTGGGTGTTGCCTACTATATTTACAGGGTCCACAAGTGAAGACCATTTTTTACTGATCTGCAACCCTATCCTGTGGAATGTATGAACTGTATGCTAATTACTCTGCTTCCATGCATGCAGATCTTGTGTACAGTGTTTTCAAGACCTTCAGGCTGTAGGCTCCATTCAGATAATTACAAACCAGTTACTACAGTGGGATTTAGCACCTCTAACAACCAGTTATGTCCATAGATTTTGTAAACCCATTAGATAACTCTTTTAATGTAAAGTACCTTCTTAGAGTTCCTTATTCCAGGATTTATAAAGTTTACATGCTACTCCAATAAACTGATAGACTACATACATTTAAAGGCTCAGCATTTAGAAACTCAGAAGGGAAGCTGATGTAGATGGCAACCTTCATGAGCTATTCTTTTTAGTGTTCACAAACCTCATAATCTCTGAAAATAGATCATTTTAGGACTGAGCATTTACAAAGTCTGCAGGTAAACTGGAAGCGTTTTTACTCACCTGAGGTATTTCTTGTAAATTACAATAAGCTCCTGAGGATCCAACTCCTATTTAGGGCATAGGCCTCTGCTCACCATTGACCTTAGTCACAAATCAATTCTCAGAGCCGATTTCCAGTAAGGGGATAAAAATGATTCTCTGAGCAGGACTCCACTGTTCCCCAAAATTCTGGGACACTCCCAGATTGCTCTGCGAGATTAGTGCTGGTCTCTCCTCCATCCCAGCTATGTCCAAAAGAGCCAGATGAGTGGGGGAGTAGGGAGACACTTGGCACCCCCCTCTAGATCAAATTAAATATAAAATGTACTACATGGCAGATAGGTATGGAATAAAACTCATCTATAACTTGCTACGGTTCTACCCAGTGTTACACCTGAGACTCACCTGTTTTATTCAATAGGGGTTACTTGGATGTAACTGATAGCAGAATTTGATCCTATGCATGTAACATTTGAAATATATATTAACTATAGTGCTATCAAATGTTGCAAAGAGTGAAGTTAAAAGCTGTGTATATAGGCATTTATACTGTGCTCATCACTGTGGTATCTCTTCCATTGACATAGCCAGAATTGATTTAAACTTTCATGTGGCCTCTTAAAAATAAAAAAACCTAAATCAAATTCCAGGAAAAAAGATTTGTGCAGCTGAAACAACACCCTCCACATCTGTTAAGACAGAATTAAGACTAAATATCTCTTAAAGATGTAATTACGGATGTATACTGAGACATGAAAACAACAAAAAGTGTATCCATTTCAAATTTTAATTGCTTGAAGGCAAAAAAGGAAGCAATTATCAGAAATTCCAATCCATCCTTGCTTCCAGTGAGATGGATATAGATGAAAGGCGCTTCGTTCTTTACAGGACCTTGTGGCTCACATGCCCATTCGGTGGGTGACCAGAGCACTCGGCCCTAGTGCATATCTAAAAATCACCCTTTTGCAACCAAATGAGTGTAGACCAACTGGAAAGTCAGAGGATCAGCATGAGTTAATTCTGGTGGTGGGGAAGGTTTCCTCAATTTCACCTCTCCCAACCAGCTGCATAAGGAAGAGGAGGGTTCCCCCCACATTGCTATGAACTTTGTCAAGGACCACCTGATGGTGTCTCTTTCTGCCCCTGCCAATCCTGTCAAAGCTCCGCCTGATGGGTGGGCATCATAACTGCTAGATATTTCTATTTGACACTTCGATCGATTGGTCCTTCAGCCCTCGTATAGATTGCACTAATCACAACACGTCTTCCGTTCTTCTCGTATCCTGGCCTTCCTTTTCCATGTGCAGCCATGTCTTTTCACGATAAAATCGTCCCATCTCTTTGGAGGTTAGCCAAGTGGTGGTTTGCAACAACAACAACAATTTCTGTTTAGACTTGTTAATTGTTATTTTTTAATATTTATTTTGTAGTTGTGCCTGGAAACCCTATCAGCAATTGTGACCCTTGTTGCTAGGCCTATACACGTATACAATGAAAAGACAGTTCGTGCCCCAACAAGCTTACAATATAGTGGTCTAAATTAATTGTAGGTGTAACTTTATTGACTTCTGTGTTTAGTCAAAACAGTCAATAAGGGAAACCCAAAAGACATGTTTCTGCCCAGTTCTGATTCTGTCAGAAATGTGAGAATTCCAGCCCGGCCACTGAAAGAAAAGAGCAACAAGTATATGATTGTCTATTTTTTTTGTGTTAGAGATTTATAGACACTGATCCTGTAAGTGACTCCGCACAGGCAGACGCCAGCATGGGTGTGGCACACCACTGAAGTTGGTGGGTTCCACCCACATAACCACATGCAGGATTGGCGCTATAGATATTTAATCGTTTCATCCATTATTCCTTGGTCTTTTGTATTTAAAGCTTCTGATCTGTTACCACGAAGTAGTTTTTAATAATATAAATTGATGTATGATTTTGACATTACGTCCATCATTTAATTTTACATTTTTTATTGTTGGCATTTTTCTAGTTTTTAAAATGTAAATAGGTTTGTTTATTGTGAATTCAATCTTAATAACAGCTATACGCCAAAGGGCACTCAAGGGGCCCCCTTTATACACCATAGTATTAAGAGTTGCAACAGCAATCATCTAAAACAGCAGCACTGCTTCCCTTCCTCCCCACTACGCTACTCCTCCTCTAACCGCCTCTCAGTGGACCAATATGACTTAACTCCCCCTTCACATATTCCCACCAGATAGCAACTACATTTCACCTAAGTTGCTTTTTTTTTGTTTCATTACTTCAGGAAGCATTGAGCTCTGGCTGCCTTTATAAATGTTTTAAAATAGTACTTAACCCAAGCTGACAAGCAATTATGGTTGTGGCATAGTTAATAAATAAATGTTCCATTTGATTATTTATATCAAAATATTTATAAAGAATAATTTTCCATCAGTAACTGCTCTGCCATAAATCTACTGTATGGGAAAATTCTTCATCTTTTTGTTTTACAGAAGAAATGTGTTAGCAAAATAAATATTATTTAAACTTACATTTATATATTTTCTTTTTTTTAATTTTATGTTAAGTCCTCTTCCTGGGGGATGTGACTGCTTATTTTGGCTGAATCATCAACAACAGGTCTTTCTATCTGTCTATCTATCATGGACATGTACTAAAGTTGTTATATGTGGGGATATTCAGCAATTTGAAACACATAGGTGAAGATGGATGGATGTTAGTCTGAAACTGTATTTACTTTGCTTTTTTAATACAAAATGCTGCCTAGCTGTCATATTCCCTATGTTAGTGCTGAAAAAGGTTACTTTTTAAAACTTAACTTGAACTAATCACTGATGAAGTGTATTATACTCCTACATTATGAATGCAGTAATATAGGAAAAGAGCATAGACAATTGTCAACAACTTAAGTAGTTAGGAAAACACTACAAGTAACAATATACAGAGCCCTGCAGTTCATTCAGGCTCTTTGTTTGTAGATAGATCAATACAATTTAATAAATTAGCCTTTCTTGCTGACTAGTTAATAAACAGCAAGAAAAAAATAAAAATGATCTGGATGGGAACCGAATTTTCTGTTTCGTGGGAAATTCTGCAAGTTCACTTTTTTTTCTCTGCACTAAATGGAATGAAAACATTTTTAAAATATTTCTGGCTAGTCTGGCAAATTTAAAGAAATTTAAAAATTTCCAAGTCAATCAGAACATTACAA